GAGAGAGAGAGAGAGAGAGAGAGAGAGAGAGAGAGAGACAGACACTCCCTGTTTTACCTCAGTTCTTGAAGGCGCTTGTTCTCCGCATCATTCAGTGCCATCAAACGCTGGTGCTCCTCAGCAGTGGCTCGCTGCCTCTCCTTCCACACCTCCCCGGATCTCTCGCTGTAGCATTTCCTCCGGTACTCTGCTCTGAACTCTCCTCTATTAGAGAGCACAGAGGGGAATAATTACAAACCACATCATCATCATCATCATCATCATTATTATTATTATTATAACATTTCTATGCCGCCCCTTGCCGAAACCTCGGGGCGGCTTACAACATGATAAAATACATTGAAATACAATAGTACATGCCACAACTGTGACCTCTTCTCTGCAGGGACAGTCACCAGGTCCCCATGTGCTTCTGGCAATTCAAGATTTACAGGCAGCGCTCAGAACACCAGCATCATCACCTCATTATCACCTAGCGGTACAATGGCACTTGCCAAAATATTCACGGACTGCAAACCTAACATATGGAAATTGTAGCATCGATTCTAGCAGGAAGAGGGTGCACTGTATTCTCTCTCATCTCCCAGTGGCTCTGCACCATTTTAACACTCCAGGTTAGGGGCTGGCAGAGTGAATCTCCCGAAATCCCGAACTTTTGCTACTGCCAGCATGGCCAGCAGTCAAGAATGCTGAGCTCTGAAGTCCAAACACTGTGGAAATCTACTTTTGGCCAGTCCTGCTCTAGGTTCCCCACACTGTCCTCCCACTGCCAAAGAGAGCCGGTGGGGTGAGAGGACAGAACCCTGGGCTGGAGGCACATGCGTGAAATCCAAGGGGGGGGGGGTCCCGGGTCCATATAACGTGAGTCACAGGGTTGTAATGACAGAAGAGGGAAGCAGAAATGCAAGTGGGTGTGTGGGACACACAAAGAAGGAAGCATGTGTGGTGAAAACTCACAACGTTCTTGGCTCACTTCGATGGCCAAGTTGCCAAACAATTCCCCCCGGGCACCTCTGTTGCCTCCAACCCCTGAATAACAGAACAGCTGGCACAAATTAAGGCATGCTCCTGGGACCCTCTGGAAGGGGGCTGGCTAACCACCATCCACCTCTGCCTGTAGCGTGCTGGCACCAGAGTTGTCCCTGTTCAGCCATGAAGCGCAATGCATGGCTTTGGGCCATTCACGGACTCTCAGCCTAACCTGCCCCACAGGGTTATTGCTTCAAAGAGGGAGCAAAAACTACATAAGCTGTCTTGGATTGCTTGGAAGCAGAAGAAAGGCAGGTTATAAATATAACAAGCTGAACACACCCTTGGTACATGTGGAAGACTGCTTCTGTGATTTCTGCCTGATCCAAGAACACAAACTCAGCAGTGATAAAGTCTTAGAGCATCGAAGACTAGTTCTGGCATAGATCTGTGGAGGGGGACACAAGCCCAGAGGTCCACCTGGCGCCATCATTATTTGTTTTTCGGCGCCAGGCCCAGACCTTTGTATTTAAACAATATTTTAACAACTTTTAATACCATCTATAGGTTTTAATTTGCAGCCAGGGTAAATCTGGATTTTATGCGCACTGTTTGTATGGTTGTTTATTTATTGCATGGAAGCCGTCCCGAGGCTCATGAGAATGGGACGGCATACAAAAATCCCAAATAAATAAATAAATACACGGCAACAGGCGATTGAGGAGTTCTCCTCAGTTGGCAGTGACAAAGACACATGGTTTTTCTTGCGGGGGGCAGGGAAGGGGTCAGCATTTTCTGCAATACTCAAGAACTCAGGCTTCCTCAGTGCAGGTGCCAAGAGCCGCTGTTCTGGCCATCGGCCGCTCTTTCCATGGCACCTCCTCCATCTTCTTGGGATTCCCTTCATGCAGCGCCTCACCTTCACGCAGCCCTTCGGGGTGCTCCAGGCAGTCTTCCTACGATATTCTGTCCTCCTCTTTACAGGGACCCCGTTGCATTACTGGCCAGGCCCCGCTCTCCCACTGCCCACGGGGACTTCTGCGAAGCAACCGGAGGAGCCCATCAAGCCAGGCCGGCCAGCTCGCCGCTCCGACAAGGGCAGTCCTCTTCCGAGCCAAGGTACAGCGAAGGGCCCCCGGCAAGACCGGCCGCCGGGCCACGAGGGTCCCCCGGAGGGTCCAGCCCAGGCGCCTGCCCCCCGTGTCCCCACGGGTCTCTCCTCGCCTCTCCGGCGGGAAGCGGCCGGTGCCGTCTCAGGCGAAGGGCCCCGCTCCCGCCTCCCTCGGCGGGGCACGTCCCTTCGGGCCCGCGCACCGGGCGATCCGCGGCGGCCTCCCGACCGACCGTGCAGGGGGTGCGGGCCTCGCAAGCGCCTCTCCTCCTCGCGCCCCGGCCGGGCCGCCCAGGCAGCCCCACGGCCGAGCGGGCGCACGACCGCCGGCCGAGCGGGCGCACGACCGCCGCCCGCGCCGCGCCGGCTCTCGAATGGCCCGCTGCGCGCCGCACCGGTTGGACGGCCGCCTCCGCCGGGGAAGCGGGCCGCCCGGAGAGCGCCGGCAGCCCGCGGGCGACTCACCTGATCTCGCGGACCACCTGCCGGTACTGCGCGTAGCGCGCCGTGACCACCAGCAGCTCGGCCGGGTCGACGGGCGGCGGCACGTTGAGCCTGCCGGCCTTGGACTTGGCGGGCGGGTCGTTGCGGGACTTCCGGCCCCGCGCGGGGACCACCAGGAGCGGCGCCGGGCAGCGCCGGCCCGGGAGCAGCGCGGCCCGCCCGAGCAGCCCCGCCAGCATGCCGGCGGCGGCGGCGGCGGCAACGGAGGCACAGCACGCCGCGGAAGCGGAGCGGGTGCGACGGGAAATGTAGTCTTCCGATCGCGGCGGGCGCTAGACGGGAAGCGAACGTGCGCTGCCTGACGGGAAATGTAGTCTTCCCCGTCCCTCGCCACAGTATCCGGCCACTGGAGTAGTTTGGGAGAGTCGGCCCAGCGATCAGAAGTGCGTCTGGGGGAGGGAGAGACCGAGGTGAGCTGGGCTTGACGGGAAATGTAGTCTTTAGCTCCACTCCTAGAGCGCTTCGACCGCTGTAAGAGGGGTGGGTGGGACGCTCACTCTGCAAGAACAGAGCATGATGGGAAATGTGGCTTTCTGAGGTCATATGGGCGCGACGGGAAATGGAGTCCCGCCCCTGCGCTGTAAATCTCACGCATACTTTGACCCGAAGTGTTCACTGCTTTAAAAAAAAGCAAAACACTCATGTTCTTATATTTGTTGTTTATTGTGTCAGGATCACGGAATCTCAATTTGAGAAGAGGGAATAAAACTCGGGTTCGTGGGAAAGACCAAGCATCCAGACCATCTGAGACTTTATTGTATTACCCCAAGGTTCCCGCGGTACTCACGATAATGCATGCATTACCGGGCAGGCAGAGATGAACTGTGCTACAAAGCTTCAACACAACTAGAGAGTTTTTATACACTCCCAGTCACATACAGGTACAGGGCAATTGATGACAGAATGCAGAGATTACAAAAAGATTCTGAGGTCATCACATACAGAACAGATAAAGAAATGTCAGTCAATCACACTGTAACAATGAGATTACAATATTTCTAATTGCCTGTATTGACACTTCAGTTCAGTAGCTTGAGCCCATCTCCAGGTCTGCTTAGACATGTAAATTCAAGCTACTGAAACCATGCATGAACTCAAGACTCTTACCTACTCTAGACATTCTGAATCGGTCAGGGCACATGGAGCCTCTGGGCTATCAAAAGATACTTCCTTGTAAACTGAATTCCAACAATGACTATTTAATCATTGTGAAGGTATACAATGTAAATTTGGACTAAATGGCCTGTGTACTGTAGCTTACAGCTAAAGGTGAGAGAAAGGAGCGGGGGATGAAGTCCATTTGAAACAGTGACTTAGCTTGGTTTGAGAAGTACAGGATTTGATCCCACAATGCAAAAAGAACACAGAAGTAATGTTTTTCAGACAGGATTTATCCAAATTTTCCCAACAATTGACTACCCGGTAGCTGAAGTCTTTTCTATACATAGTTTAAAAAGTTTGAATTGAAATGGGGTGTGCTTCATTAAATAATAAATTCCTTTCCCCATGTAAAATGCCATAAAGATAATTGGTATTGAGATGAAAACAATAATTTCGTGGCACTTTAAAGACTAGCGCATTCCTAATGGTATGTAATCTGTGTTTTATGGTTGCAACCCTATTCATCTGCCTCTGAGCCAAACCTGTTGAATTTATTGGGGCTTACTTCGCAGTGGACATGCACTGGATTGCATTGTTGTTGTTGTTAGTTGTGAAGTCGTGTCCAACCCATCGTGACCCCATGGACAACATTTCTCCAGGCCTCCCTGTCCTCCACCATCCCCTGGAGTCCACTCAAGCCCACACCTACTGCCCCAGTGACCCCATCCAGCCACCTCATCCTCTGCCGTCCCCTCCTTCTTTTGCCATCTATTGTTCCCAGCATCAGGCTCTTCCCCAGGGAGTCCTTCCTTCTCATTAGGTGGCCAAAGTATTTGAGTTTCATCTTCAGGACCTGGCCTTCTAAAGAGAGGATTGTATTGTACATTTTGGCAACAAAATTTCCCTTACATTCTAAGCAAACATTATAGACTGATTCTAAAGCAGAGGGAGCCACAAAACCCTCAATGAATAGTTTGGTTTGGTTTGGGCACCAATATCCCCTTTTACTTCTCAGGCAGAATGGAAATCAGACAACCTGGGAGAGGGAGGGTTGAGCAGCAGAGCACTGCTTTGCATGTGGAAGGAGCCAGGTTTGTTCTCCAGGTATCTCCGTGTAAGTCTGGAAAAGACTTATGTCTGAAACCCTGGAAAACCAATGGTTTGCCTCAGAGGAGGCAGTTTGATAGGACCCTACTCAGGGAGCTACGGTTTTGCTTACAGTGCAATTTCTTTATAAAACAAGTCTCTAAGAACATAAAAACAGCCATGCTGGATCTGAACCAAGGTCCATTCAGTCCAGCACTCCATACAGTTAGTGGCAAACCAGGTGTGCTAAGGGTCCCTCTAGCAGGATGGGCGCAAAACCTCCCCTTGCCCAAACTCCTCAGCAACTGGTGTAAGCAGGCATGCCGCCTCTGGTAAAGGAGGTAGCACGACGCCGGCAAGGCTTGTAGCCACTGATAGCCTCAGGAATTGTCCAAATTCCAGTCCATGGAGATCCCAAGATTCACTCCTGATTCCAGTACGCCACACCCTCCACCCAGAAATCCATTAGAATCCAACCCGCTCTTGAGGCAGCCTATTAGAACCGAAAGGAAGCTTTCCCAGAGAGACAGAAATGGACATCCGTGCTGTGCGCTGCCCCTTCCTCTATTGCAAGTGTTGATAACCATGCTAAGGGCATGATCCTGTGCATATTTAGGCAGGAGAAGCCCCAGGAAGTTGTAGGGCTTTTTTCTGTCTCAACACTTAGGGTTGTGCTCTAAGGCTTTTAATTATGCCAGACATTTGGAGGCTAAAAGGAGTTAAGGTAGTGGCAGTTTCATCTTGCCGCTGTTTTAAGCATTTGGTGGGAATATTTTATGTACTTTACTGTTTTAATGTGTTTTTAAAAATGTTTTATAGCAGTCTAGGGAGTAGACTGCAGTTTACTCCCCTAAACTTTAGAGCAGTTTCTATATGCTTAAAGTACATAGAAATGTACATGTATTGATCCAAAAGTCCAATAATGAATAAAATGTGCATCTATTCATTGGATGAACAGTTATACATGCAACATACCTAGGAATAGCTTTATTGTTGAGCCAAAAGAAAACATTACAATGTCTTGTTGTTGTACAAGTTTTATTTTGCACAAGTACGTTAGCCATTGGCTTCCAGCATGCATTTTTGACATGCAAAGACACATCCTGCTGTGCGATATAGTTGCCTACAAGTTCATAATCTAAAAATGTTTTTGCATCATTCGCTTTCCTTGTATCTTCTCATTCTTGATCACAGAGAGAGTCTATCATGCAGCCCTCTGAAAAAGCAAGGAAACGTATCAGGGAAACAAACAAAGGTATCTTCATCCTACCCTATGTGGAAATGTTTATTTTGGCGATGTTTTGATCTTTGGTAAGTGCAGACCTATTGCAGATTAATTTAGATATTGGACCAGCCAGACATAGTTGCACTCTTGGCAGCTGCCTGTAGCCTTGCAGCAGCGCATGCCTGTCGTTTTAATATCTTGGAAGGAGAGAGGTGTTGCTTGCACTTTGGGGGAGGTATGCAAGGGTACTTGAGCAGATGGTCAGTGATCAAGAGCAAGCCTTCCACCCTCCATGGACTTTCCCAGGCTTTGTAAAGGGAAGGTAATTAACATGCGACTAACATTAACACTGAAATTAATGCACTAATATTAATTAATATTAGTTAATTAATACATTAGTTAATTAGTATTAATTAATTAATACTAATTATACTAATATAATTACCTGTCAAATCTTGATCATCCAGCTTGTTACGTTCCTCAAGATTAGATAAAGTGCATGTGGGAATGGAATGGGGGATTTTGCAGGGAAATGGTCATTTGCCTAGGGCTGATTCCAGTTAGCTGCTAAGACACAGGCAAAAGGCCAAGCACATTTTATTCAAAAATCTGTATGTGTACCACACTGTACAATAAAAAATATTTTCTTGCCTATTTCACTGCAGTGTTGTGTCTATGGTAGGCATGTCATGAGTGGAGCCGGCTGGAGCCGGGGGTCAGACTAGATGGCCTGGGAGACCCCTTCTGACTCGCTCTGTCTCTATGTTTCTTTATGCTTAAAGGGCATAGAAATGTACATGTGAAACAAGGCTGAGATCATTCCAGCTGAGTCATGTCCATCATCCATATACTAACTGGAATTTCTGCACAAGGACAGACATTAAATCATGTAGGGAACTGTCCCGTGTGAAGTATTCCTTAGCTTCATCACTCAGCTAAGATTTGAAACTCAGCTTTCCGCACACGCAGCACCAGAGTTCCTCTGGGCAGTGTCCAATGCTACCTGCAGCCCTCTTCTGGAAATGCACATTTCTGCTTGTTTTGGAGATTCATGTTGGAAGAATTCATTTCTGGTAGGGCAGCAGCAATATTGGATACTGCCCTTTCGCATTAACAACAACCGTAACGACAATAGTAAAAGCTCCTCTTTAACTACAAATACAGCCCTCTCCAACAGGCAGAATGAAATCACACTTTTGCTAAAAAGTAGAAGAAACATGGCTATATTATGGAAATACAAGCAGAAAACTGTCTTACACAGTTCAGCTACAGATAATTGGCACAACCAGCTGATAAAGAGTGTGCTTTTCTGTTTTAGGGACCGAATTTGAGCTTCATTTATTAAATTTAATTCCTGCTTTTGTCTTCATCCATGGAACCCAAGGTGTTCCTCCTCTCCATGTTACCCTCCAACACAGCAAAATCTACCTCCTGCATGAAGTAGATTAGGCTGAGTGCCAGGCCCTGAGTCCCCCCTTGAGCTTCACAGCCAAAGAGGGACAAGGACCTGGATCTCCGGTGCTAGAACCGCGGTGACACACCAGCCAGCTGCTGGACCGCCCGTTCTGAAGCATCATCGTGGCTGTTCTTACCGTTGTTGCAGCAGATGCCAGACGCAGCGCAGGTTCCCCCGTTGTTGCCGCACGGCTTCCTGCCAGACTCACAAGGGGTTGGGAGGAAGTTCTCTTCTTGACATCTCAGTGTTTCAGCTGTGCCAAAGTAGCAGCCCAGCTCTTCTCCACAGCAGATGTTGGGTCCGAAGCAATGGCCTCTGTTTCTGGGCCCACAGGAGATGCACTGCAGAAAAGCACAGAAGAGGGAAAAGATCCTGTATCCAGAATATAAACAAGCCTTTTATCCAGAATATTTGCAGCTCAGGTTATTTTCACAGATATTATCAGGAATCTTGTGCTTTAGGAATTTATTTCTGTGTTTTCTACAAAAGTGCACATTTGTTTGTTTATTTATTTATTTAGAGTTTTTGTATGCCGTCCCATCGCTTATAGCCTCGGGATGGCTCGCATGGCAGCTTGCATACATGGCAGTGCAAAATCTGATAAGTAACTAGAGCCAAAGCAAAATATATCCTAAAATCTACTGCAACCATTAGCAGTTTAGAACAGGATTCAGTTTTAAAAACAGCAGATCATAGAGTAAGCTTTGAAGCTACTCGATTGTTTGCCTCGTCCCGCTAGCTCAAATTCCTCCTGCCATCCTTCAGCAGAGTTTCCTGGAAATTTTATGTACACTTACCTGAGAATACGGTAGCGCCGTTGCACCTAGCAGGTCTTAATTTAGAAAAAGCATGCATTATACTGGGCAGTGAAGTTTTCAGGTTTCATCAGTCTGCAGTAAGATACTAAGTCTTTTCATTTGTCCTTTAACTTGAGACGTTTGAGTCCTGGTTTACCTCAAGGGTGGGTCTGAAAACAAATTTCTCTCACTCGTAGTTTGAGTAAGCTTCTTAACTATTAATGTCTATATTCTGCTTGAGTTATAATACCACAAATAGCTACTGCTCTGTATCCTAAAAATATTGGAGCTTAAAACCAGCAGTTACTGAAACCAGGATAACCATCCAGATATTCTTAGTACAACTGCCATCATCCACGGCCATGCTGGCTGGGGCTGCTGCCGAAATCTAACAGCATCCTGATGGCCACGGGTTCCCTACCCCTAATTTTGACCAAGAACAAACATTTTCAAGCATTATAAAACATTAGCTCTGTTCTAGCTGCAACTGCTTTTCTCTGTTATCTGTAGATAGGCTAATATCCCTGCCTCTGTGACTCCCAGATAATTTTTCTTTTTGTGCCTTAAATTCTGCCATGACCTACCTTTCTGACTTCCATATCCAGGATGGATCGCTTTCCTCCAATGGGACAGTTCTGGATGTAGCAAGCTGAGGAGAAAGCCAGGAGCCAAAGCAAGCAGATGGCTAGCGTGTGGTAAGACATGGCTCGAGCCACCAGGAGTTCCTTCTTTTGTGGCGGAGCAATGGAAGCGTCCTTCAGTTTTTTGCCTCAATGGGCACAGGTATATATGCTGGTGGACTGGCCTGCTCAGCCACGCCGTGTTACTCACTCCTCTTAAAAACACAAGGCATTGCTTTGCACGCTAAATGTCTCCACTAATAAGCCAAGGTCACATACGTGAGGTCACTAAAATATGGATAATTTTCTCTTTCTCATTTTTCTCCAAACTGGGTAGAAGATTCATCAAAGGCCAAGAATCGTCTTTAATTGAAGAAGTCTTTCATGTCACCAGAGGTTGGGGAGGAGAAAGTGAATACTTTTAATTGGGTCCTCAGGAGATCAGAAATGCAGATGGGTTTGTCACGTGCTCTGGTGGGAAACTTCTGGCCCGCACCATCGCCCTCGGTTTGAAGCCTCGGGAGTGACTGTGACTTAGGAGGACTTCTGAATCCTCAGAGGGCGTCTCCGTCCTGCAGCATCAGCCTCCATCTTTCAGGTGCAAGCAAAAGACTTTAAGCATGAGGCTGCCGCTACGCTGAAGCAAAGGAAGCTGTGTCTGGCCAGTGCTTGGAGAGGAGACCACCTGAGAAGCACAGGTAAGTCACTTTGAGTTCGGTGATGGAGGGAAAGTGAAAAGAAATATAATAAATAACCCAGTTAGCAATCTCTGCTCCCATGATGCAATTTCATGAAGATGGGCACGAGATGTGCAGGCACACTTGGGCCTAAAGCATTAATTTCAGGCAAGATGCCCATAGTCCTTTGGGTCTTTAGGCTCAATCTCGGGCTTAAACATCGTCTTACTCATCCTGGTTTTTTGCTTCAGTATAATAAAATTCCTGACTATCAGTTTAACAAAATGGTTCTTAGGATTACCTGCACCTGGGCGCTTGGTGGACCAGTAGATGGAGCACAAGAATAAATATCATGGCTCTTAGCGTCTTAAGGCTGATCCCTGATGTTGAATCCACTTTGCAATATGTCCTCTTGCGTGCACGAGGCTCACTAGGAATCGCCCCCACCTAACAAAAATGGTGTGTAATGGTGTGGAGAACGACTGCCTGGCGACAGTGACACACGCGTTGGTGACTTCCCGACTTGACTTCTGTAACGCGCTCTACGTGGGGCTGCCCTTGAAGACGGTCCGGATACTTCAATTGGTTCAAAGTAGAGCTGCCAGGCTGCTGACGGGGACTGGGCGTTATGTTCACATGACTCCAGTTCTCCGTCAGCTTCACTGGCTCCCCATTGAAGTCCGGGCCCAATTCAAGGTGTTGGTGATGACCTTGATGGCTTGGGTCCTGGCTACCTGAAGGAGCGCTGATGTCCATATATGCCCGCCCGCCCTCTGAGATCTGTGGGAGAGGCCCTTCTCCGGGAACCCTCCGTGAAGGAAATTAGGAGGGTAAGTACTTGGAGGAGGGCTTTCTCTGTGGTGGCGCCCAATCTATGGAATGCGCTCCCCAGAGAGGTCTGCCTGGTGCCGTCGTAATTTGTTTTTCGGCGCCAGGCGAAGACCTTTTTATTCAAATGTTATTTTAATTGTTAATATTATTTATTTATTTTATTCTTTGGCCAGGGTGACTTAATTTATACTGTTAAATTATATTGTTTTATATTATGTTATTTATTTATGATTGTGAGCTGCCCCGAGGCTTCGGCGAATGGGGCGGCATAGAAGTTCCCTAAATAAATAAATAAATAAATAAATAAATAAATAAATAAAGTATTTTCCCCACTTGAATTAAAAAAAAAAAAGATAAGGAATGGATACAAACTGCAGTAGACTAGTTTTTCCAATCCTGCTCAGGAGATCTCAAATCTAGCCCTACAAGGCCATGCTTGTTTCAACAAAGATGTATTAAACAGAATGGGTTGTTATTCTTTTCAATTCTGTACCACCCAGTATCCAGATCTCTGATGTGTTCCAGATATCGTGCCTGAACCTGCTTTGACGCGAAGTCAAAGAAGGAGAGGTGGCAACCCTGGCTCGGCCTCCTGCTCGGCCCGGCGCCCGTCCCTTTGGCCACCTGTCCCGCGCACACACCGGCTCAATGCGCTGTAGCCACTAGGAATCAAGCTCGTCACCCAGCAGGCAGTGGAGGGAGGTGGACGAGAGGTGACTGCGTGCCCTTTCGCCGTGCTGCAACATCTCAAGTGATGGGCAGGACCTCTCGAAGAGAACCCTAAACAGAGGCGATGGGACTCGACCTCATTGTCACGGGATGGTGGCTCCACGTTTTAGAAGGGCCTCAGGCAAGGCAACTCGCACTGGGCCCTTCTCCCTCACCAGCACTGTTGTCTTGCGCAGCTGCTCTTCTCATTCTCGCTTCTGCCAGGCGAAGAGGCCGTGAGCAAGCAGGTGGGGGCACCTTCTGCTCCGACTCCACACCACCGGCATGGCCTGCCCCAGAGCAAGAGGCAGGCTAGCAACCAGGTTGGTGGGGCTAGTGCCGGGTGTGGGTCTTTGGGTGCCAGCCCTCGATGCTGGCCCTGCTCTGCTGAATGGAGGACCTCATAGATTTGGGCACCTGTTCCGTTCCTGAGCTGCAGCCCCTCTGCCAGGTGGCCAGTCCAGCAATTAGCCTTGAGGGCCCCATGTGGAAGACCCTGGGCTTGGACTGCCTGGTCTGTAGGCTGGCCCTGACAGCCAGAGGCTGCAGCCTCCATAGCACAGCACCAAAGCTTCTCCATGGAATGTATTTTATGTCACTCCATTCTTTCTGTTCCATCTGCCATGGAAGACCAGAGGTACATTTTCACCTTTCATTCATTCATTCATTCATTCATTCATTCATTCATTTAGGGAACTTCTATGCCGCCCCATTTGCCAAAGCCTCGGGGCGGCTCACAATCATAAATAAATAACAAATATAAAACAATATAATTTAACAGTATAAATTAAGTTGCCCTGGCCAAAGAATAAAATTAATAAATAATATTAACAATTAAAATAACGTTTGAATAAAAAGGTCTTCGCCTGGCGCCGAAAAACAAATAACGACGGCTCCAGGCGGACCTCTCTGGGGAGCGCATTCCATAGATTGGGCGCCATTTATGTAGTAAAAGGGTTCTCTCTAAGAATGATGGTACCTGTGGTCGTCTTTCATGGCATCATGAGAACCCTCCAACTGGATTCCAGATGTGGGACAGGCAGTCACCGAGTTGCGAATGCCTTGAGTTATGGACAACCCATACTTACGAAGGAACTGCCATAAAGCCTTTTTTTTAATTAATGGAAAAATCATCATCACCGTAGAGAGGCAGGGAGTGAAAGGGTAGAGAGGGAATCCTCCAAAGCATCATCAAAGAGAGAGAGAGGAAGCAAAAGGGTAGAGAGGGGGGCTGCAAAGCAAGCTTGCCTGCCTGCCACACCCACTGGGAGGGAAATCTCTCTGGCATTTCCTGCTGCGTTGGGTTGAGGAGATGGTCCTAGATATATTCGTGATTTCTGCACTTGCATGGGGGCCCTGTACCTCTAACCTGCACGAATATGGGGGGCTGACAACATGTGCTCCGGCTTGCATACAGATTCAACTTGAAGACAAACGTCATTTTCTCAGGAACGGAACTCGTTCATAACCCGGGGACTGCCTGTATCTCTAACGTTCTCTTGGAAGCCCTCTTCTGCATTTATTTTCCTATTGCTTGATGCGCTACAATCACAGTTTACCCAGAAATATACATGCCATGCAGCTCAAACAATAAAAATCCTGAGGGGCTGGTCATAATGATCAGAATGTGGAAGGTTCAGGCATCCAGTCAAGAGCAAGAATCTGCACTCCTTTCATACTCAGAGGCATTTAAATGCAGGACATTTGCCCTCTCCTTGTGAGGAGGAAGGTCTGAGCCACCACCTGGATTTGGCAGAAACCGGAGGGGCCTTTCCCCTCCCCTCCCCTCAGGCATCTGCCCTGAAGGCAGTGGTTCCTTTTCAGGAGCTCAGCCGGCAAGGAAAGAAGGCAGAACCAGGCGCCTTCCAAAGGCAGAGAGCCTGCTGTGGCCTTGGAAATCACCCCACGTCTGCCCAGCAGCCTCTACCTGCCCTGGGATTGTGGCCAAAATCATAACAGAGAAGGCACAGGAACTCTCCAAAGGCAGGTGGCCATTTTGCTAGGAAGATCCAGAGTAGCGGCTGCGTGTATCTTTGTGACCACGATCGAGAGAGTTACTCCATGCTTCTTGGTATATCAGGATATGGTGCGAGTGAGGAGTATAAATGACTAATACCAACTATTAATTAAATTAGACAGTGCAATCATACCTGTTCCTTCCTCTCTGACCTTCATTAGAGCAAATCACCTTTTTCATAATCTCTCCAGAGATGGGCAAGAACTTGAAATTCTTAACTCTATTGAGCATGTTAGCCTTATAATGTATCTACCCCCACACTGCCTTGCCTAATTCACCACCATGCGCGGAATGCTTGTCCAGAAAGTAACCTCTGTCACCTGCTTTCTGTTGCTTTAATATTTGGCACTTAAATAGAGTATAGCGGACAATTTGGGGGTCAAAGATGATGTTCTTCTCTGCCCTGGATTATTACAAAGGTTGACTGGCTGGCATTACATGATAAGTACTCCATTTAAAAGGGGAATAGGAAACCAAAGCAGAGAATAAGAGATGACAGAAATCAGTCAGTATTGCGTGCTTATGACATCAGTGGGTTGGGAGGGCAGGAGGCGGCATGGTCTAACTTATCCTTCCACTGGTAGGCAGACCCCTGTATCAGCCACCATGCCAGCCCTGGTCAGACTTGCATTAGAAACAGAGTGTTCAAGAGCATGTAAAAGTGCTTGGAGAGGAGAGGAGGCAGCTGCAGGGCTCCAGCAAATGAGGCAAGTCGGGCTCTCACTCCAGTTCAGGCGGAGTGGTGCGTGGAGGTCTGTCCGCACAGGTTTTTCCTCAGGTGCTGAAGGTTCTGTGCCTGCCAGCACACGGCGCCTGGGCTGTGGGGAGGTGTTTGTTTATGCAACTACGAG